AATACCTGTCTGCATGATTTGATCCAAACACAAGAGCCAATCTGCAATACCAGATAAATAAAGAGGCTGTTTTCATCTCACACATGGCCTGTGTAACTCAGAGGAAGGTATCAGTCTACTTTTCACTGGCAAAGCGTTTTAAGCACGGCACAAGCACCCTCGTTTCCTCTCCTTCCCATGAGCTCGTGTCACAGCATAGAGTGACCGACCACTTGCAGTGACAACACAGCAACCAACTAGAAGCTGCCTCGAGAGGCAGCTCCATCTGGAAAGCTGGGCTGGGTCCCCCAGGACCAAGGCCAGGTCCAGAACTTTCCCTCAGGCCACCCCTCAGCCTCCACTGGGGAGGGTGGGTATCCAGCAGTGAGGACCGTCCCCTTGGCAGGGGGCATGTTTCCCATCGCTAAGGATTCTTGCTAAGGAAAGCAGAAAGAAGATCAAACAGCACTGGCCCTTCTCTCTGCAAGTGCACAACTCATACTCCGCTCCGGGTGCAGGTGTAAAGTTATAACTCTTCCCAGACCAGCTTCTGCTTCCCATCCAATAAACCCGGAGCAACTGAGGCCGTCTTTTCCTAGTCTTAAAATTACCTTGACTACAAGAGATGAATTTACTTCCTAGCAATGCTAAGGGGAAGGGGTTTTCTCTGTCACCTGAGCCCTGACATCTTTTATTTCTGAGAGTGTTCAGTCTTAAGCTGACGTTGCAATATAACCATTGTCTTCACACAAAGAAATGGAGGTGGCCAGAGTGATGGAGGCCAAGCAGAGGAAAAGGCACTGGGCCCAGCAATCCTGCTACAGAAGCCAGGGCCAGTGGGGAAAGGTGCCGGCTGGGGCTCCCCTCTGAGGCTCGGGGATCCCATGTGACCTCAGTGTTCCTGAACCACCCTGAAACCCGATCACCTGCACCAGAGCTTCAGCGAGTGAGAGCTAAATTAACTGCATGAGGCCCAGCATGAAAAGTCACTATTATCTAGAGATGCTGGGAAGTCTTGATTCTCCCTGGTGAAGAGAGAAAGCTACAGTGTGGCCAAATGAAAGAAGGAAATCAATCTCCAATTCAACTGGACAGTCCAAGCAACTTGTGAAGACCTGCCAAATTAAATGATTTGCTTCTGCTTTTTTCTGATCCAGTCCTTTAGCAGAAGTGACACAGGAAGGCACGGCCACGGTGCACAGAGAAGCACCCAGCAGGCATGGGAGCATCTGGAGGCAGGCAGGGCTGTATGGCGTAAAATCACAGAACAGGTATTGCTGCGCCGGGAAGCACCACGGCAGATGGACAAAATGAGTAACAAAACCAGTAGCCGATATTGAAAATGCAGTTTGATTTGTTTAAGCAAAACTTTTTTAAAAAGCTGTACTGCTTGGGCGGCTGGGTCAACTGACCCGAGGGGACGGTCGAGCCGATTTAGGCCGCTCTCTGCCGCCTTGGAATCGCCGCCACCATGGCCAGTCGGTCGCAGGGCATCCAGCAGCTGCTCCAGGCCGAGAAGCGGGCCGCCAAGGAGGTGGCCGAGGACCACAAGAAAAGAACTGGAGGCTGAAGCAGGCCAAAGCAGCAGCCCAGGCTGGAATTGAACAGTACCGCCTGCAGAGGGAGAAGGAGTTCAAGGCCAAGGAGGCCGCGGCTCTGGGATCCCATGGCAGTTGCAGCACTGAAGTGGAGGACCCCCAGGAGAAGATGACCATCCTCCAGACCTACTTCCGGCAGAACAGGGATGAACTCCTGGATAACCTCTTGGCCTTTGACTGCGACATCCAGCCAGAAATCCACAAAAACTACCACAAAAACAGATAAAGGAAGAAAAAAAACACCTGTTGTTGCATGGATTGGCATTTTCGATCCCTTCATGGAATATGAAGCTTTAGCAAGGCTTGAGTCATAGTCTTGCGAAAAGTCATTAAATTATTTCTGTATGTTATATAGTAGATCCCTTCACTTTCTGCAGAACAGCAAATCTAGCTTCTTTGTACAAACTTAGGGCTTATCCAAAGGTTTTTATCTTTTTAATATTTACTTATTTATTTATGTATTTATTTTTGGCTGTGTTCAGTCTTCGTTGCTGTGTGCAGGCTTTCTCTAGTTGTCGTGAGCGGGGCCTACTCTTCATTGCAGTGCGCAGGCTTCTCATTGCTGTGGCTTCTCTTGCTGCGGAGCACAGGCTCTAGGCACGCAGGCTTCAGTAGTTGCGGCGCACGGGCTTCAGTAGTCGTGGCTCGCGGGCTCTAGAGCGCAGGCTCAGTAGCTGTGGCATGCGGGTTTAGTTGCTCCGCGGCGTGTGGGATCTTCCCAGACCAGGGTTCGAACTCGTGTCCCCTGCACTGGCAGGTGGATTCTTAACCAGTGTGCCACCAGGGAAGTCCCAAGATTTTATCTTTTTACCTCATATTTCTTGGAAATTTAATGGGTATACACTGTCTTTCTTCTTATGCCTTTTTGCTCAAGCAGCATATATATCAATACTGACTTTTTCTTTCTTAGATGTAGTTAAAAAAAAAAATTTCTTAAGAAAGAAAGAGATGAATTTTTTTTCCCTAAATCTTTCTTGAAGGTCAGGGGCTTTATCTATGAAAAAATAGTAAATAGTTATTTGTAACCTATGTGATGCAGCAGCCAGCCTTAAAATAGTCCTTTCCGGCTAAGAGTTAGAATAATGGATACTAGTATCATTGTTTGGGCTGCTTTTAGTTTCCCTTAATCAAAATTACTAGATGATAGTCCTACCATATAGCACAGGGAACTATATTCAATATCCTGTGATAAACCATAATGGAAAAGAATATGAAAAAGAATGTATATATGTGTATAACTGAGTCACTTTGCTGCACAGCAGTCATTAACACAACACTGTAAATCAATTTCAATAAAAAATAAATTTAAAAAATTACTAGATGATGGAATTCAAGAACTTGCTACATGTTACTACGTGGTGTACTGAAAATCATTTAAAAGTAAAGACTCTCTGGCATGCAAAAAAAAAAAAAGAAATAAAAAGCTGTACTGACTAGGGATAATTAAAGGAACTCCCATTGTAGATCCAAATCACCAGAGAATGTGCACACACACACACACACACACACACACACACACACTGCTACAGGTAGTGGTAGAGAAAGCAAAAAGCTGACTGTAAGGTTAAAAGCCTGCAGCTCATGCTAAGCACGTGGACAGCTTACCAAACCCTGCCACATGGGGGACCTGCAGGGGGCATGGCAGTGTCTCAGGGCCAGAAAAGCCAAGCCCCTCCAGGCAAGACCCAGCTCACCTTTCTATTGTGTCTCCCTTGGTGTCTATAATATGTCCTTAATAAAAAGCGGACAAACGAATCATCAACCAAACTAATCCTGGGTGATTAACAAAGTGAATGTCAACCTCATGTTAAACAACAGGGTTTGACGTGCCCGTTAATTACCCTTTATGTGAGGTGGGATCATTATCTTTGTCAAACACATTCTGTGTAACTTCCCTATAAAGAGTAATACTGCAATCACATTTGACACACTGTCATTGTGTCTGCACACAGGATGCAAGAGAGTGGCACGCTGCTCACATTTACCAAGAAATCGTAGCCACGTGGATTCCTGCCATTTGCTGAAGGCTGACTATGTAGCAGGCACTGGTGCTGCACTTGGACAATTTAGCCCAATGATCACTGCTATGGACTGAATGTTCATGCCCCCCAAACTTCATATGGTTAGCCCTAACCCCCAATAGGATGGTATTTGGAAATGGGGCCTTTGGGGGTGATTAGATTTAGATGAGGTCATGAGGGTGGGGCCCCATGAAGGGATTAGTGTCCTTACAGAAACAGAAGAGACACCAGAGACCAGAGCCCCCCACCCAAAAACAGCACCATGTCAAGACACAGCAAAAAGGCAGTCATCTGATAATGAATTTGCCAGCGCCGTGACCTTAGACTTCCAGCCTCCAGAACTGTGAGAAGTAAATGTCTGCTCTTTAAGTCATTCAGTCTACAGTATTTTGTCAGAGCAACCGAGCTACGACAGTCCCCATTGACACGTGAGAAGAGTCAAAACAGAAGGTATGAAGCACAAGCCCAAGTTCAGCAAGTGAAACCAGGCTCTGAATCAAAAGGGAATATACTTTGGACCAACAAGCATACAATGCCCTTTCTTAGGAAAATTAATTCTTTCAGACCACCAATATCACCATTTATAAAATAACTCCTGTTCATTGAATTTGCTCACTTCATATAACTCACAAATGATAAGAACTTCATCCCCAAACTCTTAGTAGGGATAAAGTTCTAATTGTAAAGATGTCAATTTTATAGGAGGAAGACCTATAGATCAGGCTGCCCAACTGAAAGTACTGTGAGGATGGAAATGTTATCTGTGCTGCCCAATGCAGTGGCCACTAGCCCAGTGGTCCTCAACTTGGGACAAACATGCCCTCCAGGAAACACTTGGCAATATCTGGAGACATTTTTGGCTGTCACAACTGGGTAAGAGGGTGCTACTGGCATCTAGGGGGTCAAGGCCAGGGGTGCTGCTAAACATCCTCTGGTGCACAGGACAGCTCCACCACAAACAGTTATCTGGTCCAAAATGTCACAAGCACTGAGGTGGAGAAAACCTGCACTAGTCACATGTGACTGAGCATTTCAGATGTGGCTACTGAGGTTGGGAACTAAAATTTTAATTTTATTTAACTTCAATTAATTTAAACTTTAGAATTAAAAAATTTAAGAGATTAAAACTAACAAAACAGGAATTCAAATGTAAATAGCCATGTGTGTTTCAGACAGCACAGCTATCAAGAATGTGCGTAAATATAAAATAAAGGTCTTATTTCCCAAGGAAACAAGAACAAACTATCTTCAGGGAAAAGAGAGATCTGATCCTTAGGATTGGCAAATAATAAGCATAAATAAAAGCATAAAAGTGAACACCCATGAAGCTTTAGGACACATGTCCTGGCACCAAACAGGAAATCGCAGGGAAACTCTCCCTCTGTCACTGCAGGCCACTCACTCTTGCAGGGTCTCCACCCCCTTTTCTTTGTACTGCAGTTCTTGCTTCATCTGGGTCAGCTCTCGTTTTAATCTGGAAAGCTAAAGACAAATTACATTTTTTTTTTCCACAAAAAGAAGCTGTGAAAAATGATTTCTACAGTTGTTAGCATTGTCATCTAAGTTTCTGACTACCTTGCAATTCACAGGGTCACCCATTCTCTCCATGACCTTCCAACCCTGGCATATCAAACAGCCCTGGCATATCAAACAGCCCTGGCAGAGGGGCCGGCTCGCTTAGACACAAAAGGCCCGGGTCACGAACAGCTTTCTACCACGTGGAGCCCTGGAACCAGCAATGATTTTCTTTTTCAAGGTATTGATTTACACATTGCAATGAGCAAACTTTGTCATACTTTTTTCATCCTCTCTTCTGCTTACTACCCACAGATCCCACCTAGGAAACCCTGTTGCTCAAAGCATGGCTTCCCACTACCTGGAAGTCAGTCGCCTGCAGTGCTTATTTAAAGAGATGATAGGACCCACTCCAGGCCTTGTTAAAACTCGGTGGGGGCGAGGCGGGGGGTGTCTGGAGCTCACACTTTGAACTGATGTCCCAGGTGTTTTTCGTTGGTGTACTAGAATGTGAGAACCACGGCACTAAAAGAGACACTCTGGTTTAGGGACTGAGACACCAGGACAGGAGGCTTGGCCTCTAAGATATCTCCCGTCCCCGCTTCCAGACACCCAAGACAAGGGGCTGAAGGGATGGAACACGGTGGCACACAAAGAACCCGGCACCACTGGCAGGGAGCACCGGTACCTTCTGGTCAAACGCCATCGTAGGCAAGATTTCTCTGGGAATACAGCCACCAGGGAAGAACAGCAGCTGCTAAAGCTGCTGAGGGACAGGCCTGGCAGCCCACTAATACAGGGAAGCAGCCCTCTGAGGTCGGGCCCCAATGTCACCAAATCTTTCCAAACAGGGGGTGAATCTAGCCCCATGAAACACACTGAGGGATACAGGTGATTTTTTGTTAGATGGGCTGAGGCTTTAAAATGAAACTTTTCCCTTCCTATCGGAAAAAAAAAGGTGGAAAGTAAAACCAAATGTGGTAATAGTTCATGAAATGGAAAATCTTACTAAAATATGGGTGTTATACACACTGGCCACCATAAAATGAACCATGATAAGTGACGTTACATAAAAAGACATACGGGGCTTCTAGTTGTGAAAATATTCGTTTTACTCACCCTATCCCGACGACTTGCTATTTCTGCTTTAATTTGGTATGGGTCGTACTTTGTATTTGTTGAATATCCAAAGAAGGCTAAACAGAAGGAAAATATTTTATTTTATAATGGATCCTTTAAAGTAAATAAATACACATAGATAGGAACTTCTGATTCACCATATTAAGTAGTTAATTCTCAGTCTCAGACTTCCAAGTTGGCGCTGGCTCCTGAAGAATTAACATTTTACAACCTTGAATCCTGATGTTTGATTTCTGCATGAGGCCCTTCTACGTGATTCCACATAATAAAATATATGGCTATAGGTAAATCAAAACTGTTTACTTCAACTGCAAAACTACTAGGGTTAAAAACCATATATACACGGGGGGAGGGGTACAGTTATGGTATAGAAAACTATTCTAACTATGTAAACAGTACATACAGTATGAACCCATTTTTACTTCCTTTTAAAATGCATGCACCCATGGAAGTCACTGGAAGAAAAGAACCCAAAATTTGACTGCTATTCTCAATGGTTTCATTGCAAAAGATTTTATATTCACTCTCTTCATATCTATAGTCTCCACATGAACGATTTTTGACATAAGAAAGAAAAAAAACCCCAAAGATTTGTAAAATGAAAAAGACAACTTTCTAGTCACGTATCAGTATCTGGCAGGCTTGAGGAAAAGCTATTCTTCCACGTTTTTGGTTCCCCGAAAGCTGAAGCAAAGCACCCACGCTGTTATTCTAAGCAGCTTCTTTTTGAGGGATGTTTAGCTAAATCACATTGCGTAGATAAATGCTTTCTTCAGCGGTGCAGCACACATGATTTAAAGCCTTTTAACAGACACAGCATCGTGATTACAGACGGCTAATACCTGGGGGTGAATGAGGTGCGCTCAGCCATCCAGCTGTGTGCTAAGCACAGTCAGCCAAGCCCTCTCCGCTGTCTCAGCAACTGAAGCAGCTTGCTGCTAATTCTTTCTCTCTTTTTTTCTTTCTTTTTCTTTATTTTTTTAAATTAATTTTTATTGGAGTATAGTTGCTTTACAATGTTGTGTTAGTTTCTACTGTACAGCAAAATGAATCAGCTATACATATACATATATCCACGTTTTTTTGGATTTCCTTCCCATTTCCGCCATTTCTAATTTCTATCGCCCCATCCACCTCTCTGCATCCCTTTTTCTTGATGCCTGTCTCCTTTCTCTTAGGCCTTGGAGCTGCAGTGACTTGGTTCCTGTCCCTTCCTGAGTTGTGGAGGCTCCTCTTTCTTCATCTGAGAGTCACCCCACACTGGTGTAATCTGCCTCCGGGTCATTTTCATTAGTTTCACCTGCTCAAAAGACCCATCAGCAGGGCCAGCATCCATTCTTTTACTCCTTTGATCTGGGTACCAAAGGCTGTCATTCAGGTAACTTACATGTCAACATCTAGAAACTAGTTTATAATCATCTCCTGATTTCATATTGGAGAAGCTGACTCAAAGCCATCAAGTGGGGCTTCCCTGGTGGCGCAGTGGTTAAGAATCCGCCTGCCAAGGCAGGGGACACGAGTTCGAGCCCTGGTCCGGGAAGATCCCACATGCTTCGGAGCAACTAAGCCCTTTCACCACAACTACTGAAGCCCGCGCGCCTAGAGCCTGTGCTCCGCAGCAAGAGAAGCCACCGCAATGAGAAGCCCGCACACCGCAATGAAGAGTAGTCCCTGCTCGCCGCAACTAGAGAAAGCCCGCGCGCAGCAACGAAGACTCAACGCAGCCAAAAATAAATAAATAAATTTATTTTAGAAAGCCATCAAGTGGTTTAAACAGCAAGAGTATTTAATATCCTCAAATAGGACCACATCCCAACTTAATTTGAGCTGTTCAGATATCTCCTGTTTTTTAAAAAATACAGTTCTATGGAAAATCTACTATTCTAAGCCCCAGTCAGAATCTACTGGAAATAAATACCTGGAGGAGCTGTCTGCCAAATTTATCTCAAATGTTCTTATATTTAGAATTCTAATCTCTCAAAAACACAGAGTAAAATGTTTCTTAAATAGAATTCTTTCTAAGACGAAGAATGTTTATTTCCAAATCCTAGAACCTCCATCTTGCCTGACTCTTTGGTCTCATTTAAGACCAGTAATGAAAGCAACACCTCAGACAATGCCCTTAAGAGGCAGAAGTTATTTCTGTAAAATCTCCACATTAAACTCCTGGGACTTAAGGTTCCCAAGCCTGAGCTTAAGGGGCTTCCACTGGGGCCCAGACAACATGCAAATAAACCTACGGCTTGCTGACTCCTTCCACGTGGGGCCACTTGTCACCGTGCAGCTGAGGAAGACAATGCCAACAGTTACCACCTGGGATCTTTCCCATTCCGGGTAGAAAGTAACCCCACCACCAAAGTCCAGGGAAGTTAACCGCAACGTTAAACATCAGTAACAGTGATCTGAAATCGTTGCCAAAACTCTTTCTGTCTGTGCAGTTTCATAGGGAAAATTAGCAAAGAGCCTTGAAGCGCACGCTGGAGGTGTAGTGGGTACAGATGGACAGATACATGGCAACCTGCCCCCAGTTCTCCTGCATAACTAACAGAGCCCTGAGGCACTTAGGCATCCGCCTCTCCCCCAGGACACTCAGCCTGGACCAGTCCTGGAGGGGGGTCCTGATAAACCACGACATCGCTGAGCTGCCCACTCCACCGATGGGGAGGCCCACCACCCCCTGGAGGACGCTGCTAAGTGACAATGACAGCCTTATTGTCCAGGCCGAGGGGAGTTAGTCTTTTCTGCTACTTACAGCTGAAAACATCCTAAATGGTAAAAGGTTTTACGTATTGATACCACTCATGTTACCTTTGCCATGGTCTCTAGAGCTATAAAATTCCAGGACTGGAATGAGGTAAAAGGCAACTCAAGTACCTAAGACAGTGAGTATGTTTTATCTTCAAATGCTAAGGAGAGTGATAAACACTGGCAGATCTTCTAATGATATAATTCAGTTTATAAAGACAGATTCTCAGTTCCTGATGTCTGCCAGTAAGTCTAATGGAACCCATTTGTGGAGTCCAAGGAAAAAGCTCAAGACTCTGGACCGCATTTTTTATTTTTTTGCGGTACGCGGGCCTCTCACTGTTGTGGCCTCTCCTGTTGTGGAGCATAGGCTCTGGACGCGCAGGCTCAGCGGCCATGGCTCACGGGCCCAGCCGCTCCGCGGCATGTGGGATCCTCCCGGACCGGGACACGAACCCGTGTCCCCTGCATCGGCAGGCGGACTCTCAACCACTGTGCCACCAGGGAAGCCCTGGACCTCATTTTTAATGGCACATACACCACAACACTTAGAAAAAGAAACATCTTCCTCTGTTAAGACACGTCTCCAATCTCAAGGTTTAGGATAAATACGAGACTTTCACCTCTGAAGCTTTCTTCTCACTTGAAGAGTTTGAGTGGGCAGAGCTATTAAACAGCTTAAGGAGGCCGCTCAGGCATACAGCATTGCTTTGGATGATATAATAGGAAGGTTATAGCTTAACTGGACCTCACCAATGTAAATTACTATACCTTGCTATTATAGGGTAGCTGTCACATTTATTTCATCTATCCTCATAAAATCTTTGTGAGAGATGACGATTACGTTTTCCCACTTTAGAAATGAAGGCTGAGTGTGTAGTGACTTGACCTACATTCTGCCATCAGTCAAAGAGGGACTTCTGTCTAGAACTTGGGCTCCTGTGGCTCACATTAGCTTTTCCAAATTAAAAAGAAATGGCCCTCCGGCTCCCCGGTGCGCAACAGAACTCAATCTGTGTTATTTAGCACTCAAAATGCTGCAGACCCCAGTAATTACTTTGGATTTCGATTTTATGGGTTATTAAAAGGGGGAAATGTGTCCATGTCTGCCTCTGTGTCCATCTCCTCTTACACACAGGGCTCCTCTGGACCGTGAGAACCCAAGATCGCCCCAGGCGGATGACATGCTTTAAAAGAGGGTAGTCCTTCTCCAAAGACCTCCTCTGGGCAGGCTGACGGCTCCTTAAGACCAGGTGTACGCCTTCCAGGCATCGGCGCTGCAGCGAGCTGCTGGAGGGAGCCCAGTAGGACTCCGGCACAGAGGACGGCAAGCCTGGACAGTTTCCGTGCTGACAGGTACTAATTACCAGAGCCGACCAAGGCATGCCTGTAAACAACCGAGGCCAACTAAAGAGGGCATGACCTCTTTTTTAAAGGTACTAGAAGCAAAGGAACAAAAAAATCAAACTAGCCCACTGAGAGGTAACCTACAGAAGTAACACAAGAGCCCACCAAATCCAAACCAAGAATTCCCTCTCTAGGGCAGACGAGGAGATCTGGTAAACATGTGTGCTCTGCGACAACCTTCGAGATTGAGTCCTGCCAACTAATACCTGGGAAGATGCTGCGTGAGCCATTTTTTTCCTGCCTGCTCCAACATGCCTGCGTGCAGGAAAACGAAGGGCTGAATGGATGGACTGTGGCCCTTATCCTCAGCTAGGCAGGAGATGAGAAACCAGGGAAACAAGGAAAGACAGTCTTTGTGGGATGGGCCTGGAGCCTCAGAAAGAATGCGGGGCCGGACAGAGGACTGATAAGGTCAAGCTTCCCCACCGCCCGAGCCAGCCCCCTGAGCCAGGAATGCAGGGCGGGTCAGCGCTTTCTCACCGGAGATAAGGCTGACTCTTTCCCAGGCACCCGAAGAGACTTTGGCTGTAGGCTTCTGGGAGCTCCCAGGAGCCAGGGTAACAAACAAAGTCATACTCTTGCTGCTGGAAGAAAGGATCACAATCAGTAGATCTCAACTCTGGGAATCCCCTGGGGAGCTTTAAAAAAAAAGTGTCTGGCCCCAGCCAAGGCCAATTAAACCCAAATCTCTAGGGGTGGCACTGGGGCCCAGACAGAAGAGTTTTTAAAAGCCCTTCGGGAGATTCCTCCAGTGCAGCCAGGGTTGAGAACCACTGGTGCAGATTCTTCTGCAAAGGACCAAATAGTAAATATTTCTGGCTTTGTGGGCCATACACTCTCTGTCTCAGTTCCTCGACTCTGCCACTGTAGCTGCTACAGACAATGGGTAAGTGAATGGACCTTG